TCAGTTCCCGCGTAGGTGGGTGGCCCAGTTGAGCTCGCACGACTAGCCTTACATTGTCCCCGCTCCACTGTCGCTCAATAACCACCAAAAACACGAAAAAGCTTTACCTTTTTAGCGTGGGGTGATTTGGCCTCAGTTTGGCTCCCCAATTGTCTTCTCTTGGTCACCCTGCGACTCCATTGCGTGCTTGAAATTGAAATGATGATTTTCACGCCTAAAAGTCGGTTAGTGCAAAATAAAAAGAGATTGAAAGGGAAATAGGGGAAGAAAAGATGAAAAGGACAAACCTTTACCTCACTTGCCTCGGTCTTTGTCGTCACATAGTGTCTCAAGTCGTTACCTCTTCATCCATCTTCATCATTCTTCCTTTCAGCTCGACTTCCAACTCTCCCCCCTCTGCCCCTCTCTTCATTTCTTCCTCCCTCGCGGCGGCCATTTTTTGGCTCCCGTTCTCTTGCCCACTCGGCCATTCCTCTCTTTTTTTCTCCTTCCTCATTTTTTCTCTCTTTTCCCTTCATCTTTCCGGCCTCCCTCTTCCTTTCCTCTCCTTCTTGCTTCCTCTCGGCTCTCCTCGCTCGATAGATCTCCTCTTTTCCCTCTCACCTGATCGCTCATCTCTCTTCTCCCTCTTTGTTTTTCGGCTAATTTTCTCCCATTTTTTACCCGTTCGTCCAACCGTTGGATCTTCATAGCTCGGTTTAGGCTGTTCGTTTTTTTTTTAAATCTCTTCCATCCTATCTCCTCCAGCGGTTTGATCTGGACCGTTTATTTTCCTGATTTCTTTTGCTCCCTTCCACTTCCCCTTATTTATATTTTTGCCCCACTTTTTCTCACTTTTTTTCATTTAAATCATAATTTTATTTTTATTTTTTATTTACATTTCTTCTTTTTTTCCTTTAGGTGGATATTACATGAAGCCTTACCAAAAGGCTTCTTACTTGCTTTACCAGTTAAGCATGACTCACATTTAAGCAACTTACCTTTAGTAATCCAATCTAAAAGATCTTCTTTAACTAGTCTACTCATTCGGTCTTAACCAATATGACCAAGTCTAGCATGCATCATAATCAAAGTGAGAAGCATAAGTAAACATATAATTATTATAAATATTATCATCCAAGTCAAAAATAAAAAAAATTGTCTCTTAAAGACTCATGGCCAAACACATCATTATGATATAAAATGTTTAAAGTACTAGAATTGAAGTTTAAAAAAAATTTCAATTTCAACAAGAAAACAATTAAAAGTAAACAACACCCCACTCTCGGTACATAAAGAGTATTATGAAGGAACAAAGTATTTCTTCTACGTAGCTTGAGTTGGTATGTTCCAATTTCAATAATGTCCTATTCGTTGTCGTTGCTCAATACAACAGTTTGCGAACCTACTGGGACACGATGGTAGTTCACGAATCCAGATCGATCTTGAACTACATGTTTATTTGTTTCTATATCTATAATTCAATTAGGAAGAGAATTAACAACTAATGCATGAGAACAAACAAATAAATCAAAAGACAAAGTGAAGAAAAGTACATTCTTTGGCTCAGAACAATCACAAACGAAGTGACCCTTGTTGCCGCAGTTGTAACACTTCACACACGCTATATTTTTCTCTCTATAACCCTGTAGCCTTATACATAGAATTATTATAAATATTATCATCCAAGTCTGGTAATTTAGATATTTTATATTATGGGCAAACACATCACCATGATATAAAATATCCAAATTACCAGACTTAAAGTTAGAAAAGAATTCCAATTTCAACAAAAAAAAAAACTGAAAGTAAATAACATCGCATTCCAGGTGTATATAAAGTATCATGAAGGAACAAAGTATTTCCTCCACATAGCTTGAGCTAGTATGTTATGATTCCAAGGATGTCCTATTCACTGTTGTTGCCCAATACAACAATTTACAAACTCATCAGGACACAATGATAGTCCATAAATCTAACTCGATCTTGAACTACATGTTTGTTTATTCTCATGTCTATAATCTAATTAGGATAAAAATTAGCAACTAATGCATAAAAATAAATAAATAAATCAAGATGCAAAGTAAAGAAATGTATCTTTTTCGGCTTGAAACAATTATAAGCAAAGTGACTCTTGCTTCCACAGTTGTAGCACTTCACACGCGCTATATTTTTCTCTTTATGTCCATTTGCCTTATGTTGTTTAGCCACACTATCCTTAAGTCCATTAGTTTGAGAGGGGCGCGAACCTTTCTTAAATTGCTTGGCATGATTAAACTTGTTTCCCATAAATTTGGCGCAATGGGTAACAACCGCCATATTGGAAGGATTTAGTGCCTTTTGATGCTTAACCTCCATTTCAATGTGCCTAGCAATTTCAAAGAAAGTATTGATGTGTTCATTATGAACCATCAGAATTTTAAAATTTTTCCAACATTTAGGTTCATTTGAAAATGAATAGATCACATTCAAAACCTGCTCTCGATCTCTTATGTCGCGGCTTCCAGCCTTAAGGTCACGAACCATAACATTCATGACATATAAGTGTTTAGTTATACTGTGTTTTAGATTCATTTCATACTTCATCCATTTTAAATCCAAGTCCAGGAGTTTTGTAGCGGATGTCTGGCCATAAATGACCTTAAGCTTGTTTCATATGTCCATATTCGTGGAACAACTCTAGAATTCTCCAATGAGATTATTATGCATGCAATATAACATAGTATACCGCACAAAATGATCTTTCTTGGATTGTTCTTGGTATGCAGTCAGATCCTCATTGTACTGGTCACTATTATATTTTTTGGTATTTACAATAGTGATCAAGGTTTCCAAAATTCCGCGCTCATTAAGAATACATTGAATCTTCCAATGTCATATATCATAATTTGTTCAATCCAACTTCTCGTTGGTAGACATATTAGTAATTATGTTCTTAATTGCCATTTTTACAAGTATAAAAAGATGAATATTATGTACGATTTCTCATAGTTAAATTATCAAAATTTCATTATTTATATTATGTGTTTGAAAATTTCACTAGATTCATAATAATCATATATGATATAAATTGAAAATATTATAATTTAATTATTATAACTAAAAATTAAATTGAACATATCTATATAACCCTTTAATTTTGCCAAACTAATTAACATAAAAAAAATCAAATATCATATAGATATTTGTAGTTACCTCTACTTAACAAAAAGAGGCGTAACAAAATAATGTACAAAAACTAATTAATACACATTAATATAATGTTGATAAAAAACAACATAATAAAATATCAATATTGCCGCCCAAAAAAAATGCATACATTGAATATTTTAAAACGTACTGAAGTATTAAAATACCCATATTATCGTTAAAAAAAAATCACTAACTCTTTTTTTTTCTAAGGAAAAAAAATTAAAATAGATGACATTATCATCATCATTATGAGATATAAAGGAATAGTAAAATAAAAGGCCCCCTTTTCCTTTGCAGGAGTCGACCACAAGTTTTATATATATATATATCTTTAATCTCTCTCTTTCTTTTTCTCTTCTCTTCTTTTTTTTCTTCTTTCACATACTCACAATGCAACACCTCTCTCTCTCTCTTTCTTTTTCTAGTTTCTACTATTTTTATCTTTCATTTTCTTTTTCTAAGGAAAAAAAAGAAATTCATGCGCAACCACGAAGACTCCGCGTATAGTCACACGTCACTTTGTCAGGGCAGAGTCAGTCTACCGAGGTATTTGGAGTTTTTAGACTTCATTAATTAGGCCATTTTGGTGTTTCACACAGAAAAATTTTGTGAGTTACTAGTTTTAGATAAAAAAAAAAGAAACACTGTTCATGTATTCTATCTCACAGTAACATAGAGGTGAAATGAAATCACTTAGATTTACATGTAATTAGCAAAACATTATGCACAAATATACATAAGTAAAAAATAATATGTTTTTTGGATCCATCATCATCAAGTTAATATACAAAAAAATCAACGAGCTTAATCCAGATTAGAGTATGATTATTACAGGGTCAGAAGCAAACAACTAGACTTTGATCCCACTGTAAGTAATTAGTACTGATCTTAGTGCGAAAACAATAGGACCAGATGCTCGTTTACTGCCCACAAAGAATGATTCCTTCTTATTGAAACTCTTGATTACCTCTTTATTCTTCCGGATACTATTAAAGTATTGGATAATATTCACACCCCAAAAGCTAAATCTATTAATGAA